TCATCGACTTGTGACACGGCTGTTCATCGACTTGTGACACGGCGCATTGCCTTCGTGAAACAGCAAACGCGGCACCCACTTTGAAAGCAATTTGCACATGCCCAAATTTTCATGCAAAATTGTGAAGACATTACCTTCTGATATCTTCAAGGCATCAGCTATCTCACACAACTTAAGTTTACGGCCCTATAAAACTATTTTGTGACATTTTTTATGTTTTCCGGAAAGACTGCTGATTTTGGGCAATCAGAGCGTTCAGCATCATGGGTGCTTGTATGACCGCGTTTAAATTCAGCATACCAGTCAATGATAATTGATTTCCCTGGTGCAGAGTCCCTATAATGCTTATCAAGTCACTTTTTGGCTTCAACAGTATTTTTTCCGATTAAAAAACAGTGTTTAGTCAACACACGAAATTCCTTCCTATCCATTGTCTTCAAAATTACGAAACTTGGGGTACTAAAATGACTGTAACTTCTAAACTATTGGTCAGAATACCATGAAATTTTGACACGTACGTTGAATAACGTGGGTCTGTCACCAGTGTCGCCATATATGTGTCAGACCGGGGACTTATTGAGTGACGTGTTACTTGGTTTGCTAAAGCTCACTTGGACATAATAAAAATTTGTCGGTTTATTAGATATTTTTTAATAATTAAACCACCACAGCATTCTTTTGTGGGAATCGCATAAGGGTAAATACAATAATCAAGTCTATGTTCCACACAAGTTTATTAAAATGCGTACGAGCAGTGAAAACGATGTAAGCTATAAGAATGACTCTGACGGACTGTGTCGTCGCTGGTTAAAACCTCTCCTCGAAAACTCATCAGTAAAAGAAAAAAGAAACAGTTTAGAAAGAGAGAAAATATAGAAAGTGGGAAAATCCAGAAAAACCGTTGAAAGTTCGGAAAAGGAGAAGTACAGCGGAAGAGAATCATAAAACAGAAAGTGAAGCGTTGACTGAGCGTTGACACTGACCAGGCCCCGGCGAGACCCTATAGAAAGTGAAAACAATTAGAGAACGTAAAGTTAAAGAAGATAGAAAACAGGAAACAGAATTTCAGAAAACTGAAAGAATATAGAAAACAGAAAAGGCAATGGCGTATGTGGTGCCAAGGGCGCCACACTACAATTAGTGACGAGTTGATGTGCAATAAATTAGAAATATGTGACAGAACTGTTGTTGATTGGACAAATTTTTGTAGAGAGGTAAATTAAAATTTTAATGAAATTAATATTACCGGTACATATCTATGTATTTGTTAAATATACTACTATTTCTATATATTTTTTTAAATATTTAGTTACTATTCGATTGGTTAATGAACGAACAACAGCAGCTTGGCGGACCAGGAATTATTGTAGAAGTAGACGAAGTCAAAATTGGCAAACGGAAATTTTATAAAGGTCGCCTTGTAAAAGGACAATGGATATTTGGCGGAATAGAACGTGTTACACGCAAAGTTTTTATTGTGCCTGTAGAAAACCGACGATCTGAAACTTTATTAACATTAATTACAAAATATATTGCTCCTAGATCAATTATTTATAGTGACTGTTGGCGTGGATATACTGCTCTCGAAAATGACAACAATTATGTACATAAAACAGTTAATCATAGTGAAAATTTTGTAGATCCAAATACTAATGTTCATACTCAAAACATAGAAAGATTATGGAGAGAACTACGCAGTAATATTCCACGTTTTGGCACTCGAGAATATCATTATAACCATTATATTGCCGAATTCTTATTTAAAAGAGTCTATGCTTTCGATAAACTTATTGATGCTTTTTTTGAAATAATGAGCAAATTGTATCCAATAAATAATTAATTCATCATATTAGTATATTATTTTTGGACACTCTATATAAAGATAATACTGTTGGTCGCGACTCGTTAAAAAGTTATTAGTGATTAAAGTTAAAAAATTATATGGGTCCCCTTTTGTCAATATTTACCGAATTTCCATTACGTCCTTTATATCAATATATGTATACGAGGCGTGACACAAAAGTAACGAAACTAGTTCAATAAATCATTGTACCTGCAGAATCAGTTCTCCGTGACATTATCACCTTCAAAGTAGTCCCCTTCACCATTCACACACTTTTGCATTTGGTGCTACCATTGCTTGTAACAATTCTGGAACGAGATTTTTGGAAGTCCCTTTAGGAGATTCTCCGTTTCTGCCTGAACCTCTTTAACTGAGGTGAAATGGGTTCCCATTAAGCAAAATTTAACTTTAGG